GGGCGGATGACCAGGCGTTGGTTGCCATGTTCCAAGCAGCCCTTCCCCGCGGAGAGGTGAGGAAGGAGCTCCGCAAGAATCCTCCCCCCACGTACCAAGAGACCTTGGCGCGCGCAAAGTTCTTAGCCTCGGAGGAGTTCGATGATGCCCTGGAATCCGAGGCCGCGCCGGCTAAGCGAGCTTCAGTAAATTCGGGAGAGGCCGCGAAAAAGAGGAAGAAGAAGAAAGACTATACCGTGGGCCCGAGGACGCCCTCGGCCGGAGTATACTCTGTGGGCGCCCCCGTGGGGGCGGGTCGAGAGCTTGCCCTTTCCCCGCTCCCCCACGTAGAGGCTTACGCGGTGTCGAGCGGAACTAAAGTATTGCGAGTACCATCGTAACAACACTCATAACACTAAGGAATGCTTCACTCTCCAGAAGGAAATGCAACGACTCATCGCCCGAGGGCCGCTTCCAAGAGACGACGCGGCTACCCCCTCCCGGGGCCCGCCGGAAGGAAGAACTTGGAGGAAGGCGACTGATCCAATCGCAGTGGCGACGCAGGCAAGGAACCCCGAGAAGAGGCACATCGGGCGGGAGTGCAACGATCTGGACGAAGACGAAGCCCAAGGATATCCGGTGGGATTTATCCATGGGGGAAACATTGGCGGGGACTCCGCCGCTCAAAGGAAGAGGTGGAAGCACTTGGCCTTTATCGCCAAGGTCCATCAGGCGCCGGCGCCCAAGCTCGGAAGACGAGAGCAAATCCAATTCACAGAGAAGGATCTTCCGAACACGCCGAGTCCCCACCGGGATGCCTTAGTCGTGAAGATAAAGATCAACGACGCCATAGTACACCGTACCTTGGTGGACACGGGAAGCTCAATCAATATAATGTACGAAAAAACATTCCATGACCTCGGCTTGAACCGCAAGGACTTGAGGCCTGTGCGCACTCCTCTCTCCGGATTCACGGGGGACTCCATCGAGGCCGAGGGAGTTATCGCCGTATCCGTGATAGTAGGGGATGGTGCGCACAAGGCGAAGCTGAAGATGGAATTTATGGTTGTGAGCATCAGCTGTGCGCACAACATGATCCTGGGGCGGCCCGGCCTTGAGGACTTGGAATGTATGATCTCCCCGTACTACTTATGCATGAAGTTCCCCACTCCATCCGGCATCAGGGTGGCTAGGGGAGACCAAAAGTTGGCCCGATCGTGCTACGTAAGAATCACGAAAAAGTTGCCGAGGGATGAGACAATGGTCGTGCACGCGCAAGAGGGAATGCGCAAGCTGGAAGCTCGGCCTTTGGCCGAGCCCGCCGAGGAAGTCGAGGAAGTGCCGCTCGACCCACAAGTGCCCGAGCGGAAGGTTAAGGTCAGGGCGACCCTGACGACGAGCCAGCGGATGCGCTTGGTGGAAGTGCTCGCCGCCTACCGCGTGATCTTCACGTGGGGACCTGGGGACATGCCGGGGGTGGACCCCAAGATCATATGTCACCGGTTGGCGGTCAACCCGGAGTCTAGGCCGGTAAAACAGAAGAAGCGTTTCCTCTCGTCCGAGCGGAGGGAGTTCGTCTCCAAGGAAGTGACCACCCTCCAAAGCATTGGGCATATCAG